AATCTATTACAGTGTTAATTACGTTGAATAATATTATTTAAATTCCATGGAATTAAAAATGTTTAACACTAAAATGATATTATTATCATGTTTTATTTTTTAATGGATTTTTTTGAGAACACTTTTAAAAATKGTATTTTATTTAATTATTATAATAGAGGTTTAAATATTAAATAAAATTAATTGTCCACATAAAACATACAGCATAAAGAAACCCTACTCCTCATTWTAGAGAATTACATTATCAACCATTTTGTACACTATGGATTAAAATGAAATACACTCATGGAAATATCTAATTTTCAATCAGTTATCTGAATTTTATCAAATATAATTTGAGATCTGGTTACAAGTAACAAATTAAAATTTTACAAATACTTCCACACTATGTTCAAATAATGATAAATAATTAATAATTTCCAATCCAAAATTAAATATTATCAGAGTATACTGAAACATTAACGAAATGTTATAAATTAAACTTTATATCTAAATATTTTTTAGAAAGAATTTATGTATAAACATACCACTTGAGTAATTGATTAGAAGATTTACTTTAAAGATAAATCAATAACTTGGTTATTATATTTCTACTATAACACTATTTTAATTGTAAAAACATGTGATTGTTAGATATACATGGCATGCTGTTTATGTTATTTATGCTCTTTTATTCTTTTTTGTTTTTTTTTTAGTCTTAACAGGTGACCCTGATTTATAGCAATAAAACTGAGTAACAATTATAAAGTTAGCAATAGATGCAAGAGCAAAACTCCAAATTAAAAGGTTATCTCCAGTTTCTTGTACGGATGTGAACACTCGTACAGATGATCCTAAAAATAAAAGAATGGATGTAGCCATTGACAATTGTCCTGTACTTTTATTTTTGAAATTCACATAGCCTTGAGTCATCTATAGAGGAAAAAAATATTACATTTTAATAACAATAATTATTTTTGAGTTTTTATTTTGTATATTTACCTTGCCATAAAACATTAAAGGTATRCTGATAAACTGTGCGTTCCAGAGGAAAGAATTGGGAACAATATCAGATACAAGAAGGAACAATAATGAGCAATAAATAAATGCAAAAGCACTAGCTGCCCTCTTAGATATGTTGTAGTAGAAAACTAATATTACAATTAGTAATGTTTGGAATAGTATGAATAATGAATCGCCCCATGAGCTATAAAATAAATAA